AAGAGGTTTCTTATAAGCAATGATGCCGACCTTGTTTGTAGAGTTTGAGGATGTTGTTGATGATGTTTTGAGTTTGATTACGCAACAAATTAAGCAAAATAAGTTCGGGAACACAAAGATAGATGTTGATGATTATATATATTTTTATTTACTATTTTAGGTGTATGTGTATATTTTTATTTATTGTTTAAGGTCTGGGAAATATGTGTGGTATTTCTAGTTCGTTGGTTTGGTATGCTTCATGTCATGTTTAATAGTTTGTTATTTAATGTAATGTTTATGGTTTATTGTTTTTATAGTTCACATCTATAACAAATCTCATATTGAATTTAATTAGTCATATTAAAAACAAAATCCATTACAATATTACTTTCACTATTCCATAAATAATAAAAGCAACCTCTAAACGTGTGATCACGTGAGCAATATGTTTATGAAATCTTTTCGATGTACGAAACTGAGAAAATTTTGGCAATTGTTGAGATAGTCATGCTTCTGTAGTGGAAAAGCTCTTTTTGCTTCATCTTTATATGTATTGGGTTTAGGCTGGACAACACTTTATATCCTTCTTACAACCTCTCTTTTATGTGAAACAATTGTATGTCTAAAGCATAAGTTGCTTCGATGACACCCATTGTAGAGGCTTGTTTCAAGATATGACAACCAACTTCAACATTGGCATAATATTTGGAAAAACACTGAACTATACATTCCCTAAACTATGCATCTGGATTTCTGGAAACATAAGCCTTTCGTACAAGCATTCATTCAGAACGATCCAAAGGTTTCAAGGTATACCGATGAAGTCGATTATTTGCAAATATGAATATGTAATTTGATGCCAAGTAAAAGTCCCAGCAAGTTAAATAAAGATGGAGAAAGTCCTCGATAGAATTAGAAACAATGCAATGTAAAATCTAAGCTAATATATCATTTGGCAGATAAGATAATGAATATTTAACTGTCATTGAAAACGAAGGAAAAATCTATGAAAATGATAGATAATATAATCAGAAAAAATACACAGAAGGCAAAGTAATGAGGACCACTTACTTCATATCTCATATATATAATGTTTGACGCCGGATAAGATAAAATCTTAAGAAAAAGAAAGACACGTTTCAATGGAAACGTTTTCCTCATTTTTAGATAATATATGTCATATCATAGTGTTTTCCATTATTATTCAGATAATCTCTGCCATATCATAGTGTTTCATCCCATCCGAAATGAAAGGTGTATTCTAAGGGAAGTGTTTTCTATTATTATTCAAAGAATCTCTGTCATGTCATAATGTTTCATCCCATCCGAAATGAAAGGTGCATTCCAAGGGAAACTCCATTATTATTTAGAGAATATATGTCATGTCATAGTGTTCCATCCCATCAGAAATAAAAGGCGCATTTCAGGGGAAACATTTTTCATTATTATTCAGAGAATCTTTGTCATGTCATAGTGTTTCATCACATCCGAAATGAAAGGCGCATGTTCCATTATTATTCAAATAATCTCTGCCATTTCACATAATTAACATGAATTGTTCCTCGACCCTCAATCTCTTAAACTCTTCAACCCTGAAACTTTGTATCTTTGAAATCTTAAACTCTCAAACTAAGAAAATAACTCATATTTCAATTGTTGTTTACTATGATAGAGAAATTAGGGAAGATGAATAGGGGTTGTTTTCCAATCAGATCATTATATCCTTTTGTCCTTCAGGAAAAACATCACTCTTCACGATTTAATCACAAAAAATCTCAAGGAATGCTATTTTTTGAAACAGTTGAAGACTGACTACACTGCAATACAGATTTTGACTGAAATTTTTCTGTTAACATATACATCGTTCAAGCTCTTAAACGACGATGACATTATTGTGATGGTTGATGTTTCCAATCAAAATTTGAACTCTGTTACAGAAATGTAAACTAATTTTGTTGATGTGCATCTAATTCGGGGTATGTCCTTATCCTCCTATTACGGATTGCATGAACCAGTTGACAGTCCAACTTAAATAATATGTAATGATTTCACGTCATTAATAGCTAACCCACCTTCTGTTAGCATACCATCAAGTTTTAGGGGAAGGCATTCATATGTCACTTTTTTCTACCTCAATATGGAGATGCCTTTCAGTTCCAGAGGAGACATTTATTTGGCAGTACCTTCGACCTTGATATGACAATGCCTTTCAAGCAACACTCAATTCATAACCCATATGGTGACATCCCTTCAAGCTCCAGATGAAGGCATTAATCTATGAACTTGTTCGAACTAAACATCAGAGTCATAAAAGAACCCTCATATCCTCCAAAAGAACCTCTTCGTAAGGCAGAAGCAGACGGTGCTGAAATTGGATTATTCATTGAACCCGAGTCACCGTAATTCAACATGAACTCTGATGATGATGCATATTAAGTTATTAAAAATATGGTACTATATGAACCTCCGACACACATGCATGAAGCTAACTATGATGCGATGTACGGTCTATAATTTCTTGATATGCCTTATCTTGAAGACTATAATAGGCATTCATCAGTTAATGATGGTGATTTATATTGTGGAATGGAGTCTGCATCTAAAGAAAAAACAATGATGGTAATTAATAATTATAAAATTCGTAATTCAATTCAGTCCAGGGTCGACAGATCTACCACAAAAAATATGTTCATTATTGTGTCCAACATGATAACGGCTACAACTAGATGGTTCATGTTTCAAAGAGAAATAAAATCGACAGATGGGAACTAACAAAATACATCAGTCTCTATATATGTTGTGCACAGGGGATCAACTAGGACCATTCAAACTTGGACTTCAACGTGATTTACCAAGCTATCATGCCATTGGTTAGAGCAAACTCCCACATACCTATTGCAGTGTTGATTTATGCAATACAATCTCAATATGGGTACATCGTCTCGTACACAAAAGCATGGAAAGCAAAACAGGATGTCATTATAAAACTACATGGCGAATATGATTCATCTTACAACGAACTACCCAGTTGGTTTAACCTGGTTCAACGACTGAATCCTGGGATAATAGTTGAGTTTGAAACTCGAAATTCCTACCATAATGATCGACTTCTTCGAGATCGATGCCAATTCCACCGTGTTTTTAGACTAACCCACAATGCATTAATGCAGTGAAATACTCTTAACATGTTGTCCAAATTGATGGTACATTATTGTATGGAACATACAATCAAGTTTTATTATTGACAATTGTTCAAGATGGTAATTGTAACATTCTTCCTGTTGTTTTTGCCCTTGTTGAAGGAGAAGATATATAATATTGGGTTTTTTTTCCTGAGAAATATACGGTTACATGTTATCACGAGGGAACATATTTGTATCATTTCAGACCGAGAAGCTAATATCAAAGCAACAATGGACTCTTTGAGTCCAATTTGGAAACCCTCACACGTCCAACATCGTCTCTGTATCCGATATATTGTTGCAAACTATCATGGCAGATATAAGAAGAATGATGAACAATAATTAATTATTTGCATGAGTATGTTACATTTTTCTCATTTTCATTTTTTATACTAACTCCTTCATTTCGCTTAGGTTACAAACTCTCACCTTAAACGTTTGAGGTTATGCTTCAAGAATTGTGAGAAAAAATGAACATAGATACAATTACATCAGTGAAATAAACAAAGAAAAATGGAAAAATGAATACGATGGTGGATATCGATATGGACATATGACAACCAACTTGGCTAAGACAATCAATTAAACCTTAAAAGGGCCCCGTTATTTACCAGTAATTATTTTGGCTAAAATGACATATTTTTATTTGGATAAACTTTTACTTGGATACAAAATAGTCATGTTTATCACCCACGATTAATAGTGGACCTGCAGCAAAAGGTTGCAGCATCAAACAACATGTTTGTAATAAGCTTTCTCGTACCCAAGAATTATTTCGGGTCACAGAAATGCCACAACCTCTGCAAGGGAATGAATCTAACTCTTTTAGAGTTAATATACGATATAAATGTTGTGACTGTGGATTTTTCAAGCTTTGAAGTATACATGCTCTCATGTCATAACAACTTGCTCATTTTCTCGTCAAGATTATAAGCGTTATGTGGATCTCGTATACCAACTTTCACAAGTATTCAAGGTATATGAATATGAGTTTCCCTCATAAGTACTGACAAAGACCCAAACGAGGTTCAGACTTGGGTTCCAATTATACCATATCCGAACTTATTAAAAGAGTCAGGTCATCCAAAATCCACTCGAATTCATTGCGATATGGATATTAGATAGACACCAGGATAAAACTTAAGATGTGACCATTGCATAAATCCCGGTCACAATAGGAGAAATTATATATCTCTTTCATCATCACGTAACTATTGACCACCACTCGTGTAATTATATTTTCTAATGTTTCAACTTACGTTATTTGATTTTCGTTTAATTTCGATTAATGTGATTTCAACTTGTTTATTTTACAAGATGACCTTTCCGTATATCTATATAATGTTCCAATTAAATGTTCAACGTTTATTTCTTACAATCTAACATACAATCAACTTTAATCATACCCTATTTTAAAAACATAAAGTTCTAACATACAATCAATTTTAACCCTAAATTTCTTTAAAAACCCTAAAACATACAAATATAACACCTTTAATCACTAAAAAAAAATTAAAACTAATTATAAAACCCTCAAATTAATTTAACGTAAAACCTTAAACCTAAAACTATTGGACATGAGAGGTGTGTCTCCTTCTCTCTCTTGAAAAATGTGTTGAATCGAAAGTGTTAGGAAAGTGTGTTTGGTAGATAATATTATTTTAATCGGATGATTTTTTTTTTGTCAAATTGCCCCCAAATTAACGATGGAGATATAAAACCGACCAATCCAATCATTTATGGTCGTTTCAAATGGTTTTAACTAATAATAACAATAAGAAAAAGAGTTTCTTTTTGAAGCAATCAATTTATAAAAGAGAACCAAAAAATGGGGAATCGAGTAGTTCAGTTGCCGATTCCAATAATAAAGGAAGAGATTGGATTCCTTCTCGTTTTCATTTCCTTTTCTCTCCTTCTAGAGATTAATCGAGTCCTCGAATTAACACCCATTGCTTCGAAATGAGCACGGGCGACTTTCTCAACGTCGACCCTGTAGAGCTCAAGTTTCCCTGTAAGTTTTCTGGGGCTCTCTTCCTCTTTTATCCCCCGATCTTGAATTTGTGTTTTTGTTTCTGGGTTTTTTTTATTTTGATTCGTTGTTGTTGTTATGGTGTTTCAATAGTTGAGCTGAAGAAACAGATCTCATGTTCTCTTCAATTGTCGAATAAAACCGATTATCATGTTGCTTTCAAGGTACCCTTTTGTTAATGTCGAACTGAATTGGTCTGTTTGGAAGCTGAGAAAATAAAACAAAATGTGAGTCGATATTTTATTTAGATTTTCTTTTCAGGTGAAAACAACCAATCCGAAGAAGTATTGTGTTCGTCCCAACACGGGGATCGTTTTACCAAATTCTACATGCGAGGTTATAGGTACAAATGCAATGAATCAATTACATTTCCCCCCCCCCCAGATTTTTATCATTGTTTAATTCTGGTAATCTTCAAAAGAATCATTTTTTTAATTTAGTTACCATGCAAGCGCAAAAGGAGTTCCCTGCTGATATGCAATGCAAGGACAAATTCCTCCTTCAAGGTGTAAAAGCCCCTGATGGTGCAATCCCAAAGGATATAACTGCAGAAATGGTATGATGTAATTGTTATTTCGGCCCGGACGCAGACCCATATCTGACATTTTCATTTATATTCGAATTCGAGTAAGGTAGTGTATAGTTTTGATTGATTGCGGGAATGTTCGGTTTTCTAGTTCAATAGAGAAGCTGGCAATGTGGTTGAAGAATGCAAGTTGAGAGTGGTTTATGTTTTTTCATCTCAACATACACCTGCACGTGATGGATCTGAAGTAGGGTCTTCAATGAGAGGCTCTGTTTCGGACAATGGCCAGGCAAACACTGCTGAGTTTGTTAATGTACCGAAACCAAGACATTGCTGCGTATATTTTTGTTATTGCCCTTGTTATGCTAATAGTTTGCATTTCGTCGGTGAATGCAGGCTGCAAGAACATTTACAGATGATGTTCAAGATAAATCTCCTGAGGTAAATTCTGGATTCTGTATCTTCTGTATCACCTTCCGCTGCTGCATATGCATGATTTATTCTTCATTTATTTTTCCGTTCCGATCTCTGTTGCTTCGACCCTTCATTTATCTAGAAATACTCATGTTCAACACTTATATCCTATGCATATCCAAATAGTGTTCTGAGAATATGACGTTCCAATAACCTCAGAATACATGAAAAACTTACTCGTGTCTGGAACTTACATCAAGTCTGAGTAACATAGTTTTGGATATGGTAAGAATCGTATTTTTCTAGGTAGATATTTACAGATGAAGTTCAAGGTAAATCTCCCAAGGTAAATTCTGAATTCTGCATGTTTTGTGTCACCCTATGCTGCTGCATACACGTGATTTGTTCATTTACTTTGGCATTTTGGATCTATGTTGCTTCGATTCTTCATTTTTCTTGAAATTCTTGTGTCTAACACCTATATCCGATATCGATATGCAAAATATGATCCTCCTAGAACATCCAAGTTCCTGGATATTTGCATTCCTTTCAACGCTTCCGGGTTGGGGCCCGAAGCTCTTTTATTGTATGTGATGGTGATATATTGAAGGTAATAATACTCAATAATGCTTTCTATAATTGCAGGCAAAAGCTCTTATAACAAAGCTGACTGAAGAAAAAAATAAAGCAATTCAACAAAATAACAAGCTTCGCCAAGAGCTGGTGAGTCGAACTGACCGTGATATATGCAACAGGAATCGTAGTAAATTCAACGAACCTTTATTTTCCGCTTAACCATCTCTCCGTAATTGCATCTAGTTATTGAAAATGTCGAGCCTTTTGTTTCCCTTTTACATCTCAGACCTCAGCAGGATCCCTACTCATCTTACCATCAAGCCATATATGATCTTGTTGTTAGTTACTTATGAAATGCAGTTAAAAAGCTTCCATCGCCTGATAGATTTGTGCTTTCGATATACTCGTGTCCGACCAGCTTATCATGTTCTGTCGATCTATACGAGCCATGCGAAATTCTCACATGTAAAAATCACAAATGTTTAGGAACTGCTGAAGCTCGAAACCAGCAGAAGTGGTGGCGGTCTGTCGTTCATGATCGTTATGTTGATCGGCTTGATTGGATTAATTACGGGATATATCATGAAGAGATCGTAAACATCGACCGATCTAGTTCGGCTCATCTGCATATTCTTCCTCTACTTTCCTTCCCTTGGTTAGCTTTAAGGTCTCATGGTGAGTATGCAGTGCACTCCCATTAATGTGTTGCATTCTTTCTGTAAACATCATTTTTTTTCAATTAAGATAATGGTAATTCCACAAGTGGTATCGATTGTTTAATGAATAAATGATTATATTTTTTATTTTTTAAAATATAAAAATATTGTTAAATTAACTATTGAAATATATTTAGACAATATATATCTTTATATAAATATATATTTATATATATAAACTATAATAAAATTTAAACTACTAAATTTTCAAGACCTCAAGTTTACTATTCACAAAACATAATTGTGATGTGCATTCCAAAATTATTTACATAATCGTTTTTTTCAATTCAATAAATGATGTAATTTTTTTATGTAAAATAATAATAATTAAATTATAGCTTACGAATGAGCGAAACCTCAATCCTTTTTTGAAAAAAAAAATCGATTAAATTAATAAATTATTTTATAGTCAATTAATTTTTCAAACTAAGAAATTTAATTAATTCTGTCCCGCTATATATATTATAATTCTATAACGTGACGTTTATAATATTTTTAAAAAAGTAAAAAAAAATTATTAAAATTTTAAAGGAACTCTAATTTTTTAATTTAAAAAAGTCTAAACGTTATTAAAAAATAATAATAAACTTTTAAAAATTACATATAGAAACACTTTGAGGTGACATAAAACCATATGATCTAAAAAATTATTAAATTTAATAACCAACATTGATCGAAGGAATGAATCAATAAAAATTTGAATAAACTACACTTTTAGTATATAAATTATCATTTTGATCCCTTTTAGTAGTTAAACTTTCATTTTTCAAAACCATAACTAACATTTAGTTTTTGTATCATTTTAGTACCCTATCATTAAAAACTTAATAGACTGGCTGACTTGACATAGCTCAATTGAACGGACGACTCATCCGATTGTGGATCACAAGAGAATGATGAGCCAACCAACATACTTCAGTTTCAGTCCCCCCATCAGACGGTGTACTATGGAGATTAGAGGATGAAGAAATCAAAGAATCCATAATCAATTTGGGAAGATTGAGACGTTTTTCGATATAACGGAGGCTGAATTTCATTTGGAGGGTCGAAAAGGCAAAACCTTAAATTATTCAACATAATCTTAAGGACTTGTCGAATGCCTTATCGAAACAGTCCTATATTAACTATTTGAACTATTGAATTATAATAATATAATTAATGTCAATCGTTCTATGTTTTTCTTTAGAAATTAATGTAAATGTTGGATGATAAGTCCATATATTTTTTTAATGTCTTGAAGATGCCAATAAGTGCAATCAGGCAGACTTATGCGCAGTTTTACAGGCAAACTAATCTTAAATTTACAAAGGCAAGGCCCCTTCCCCATAAACATTGCCACATTGCCAGCAGTCCGTTAGAAAATGAAGTCACTGAGCTGAACATGTTTCCCTTTCCCGGTGTTTCTACCGATCAAATACGATTGGTCCTCGATATCGGCGTTCGGGCAGTTCATTCTATGCCTGTGGCATCAGCGACGAACCGTTTAGTTATTTACGGATCCAAAGCAACAAAAAGGGTGTCAATGATGTTACAACACATACCAAGCAAAGTGATCTTCACAACAAATAGAACCCCAAATGATTGAAACTCCAGCTCCTTTCCTGCGGTCAGGCAACGTCGAGCAGTGCTTTCAAGTTCAACCAATTACAAAGTAAATTAAAAGTTGCAAGAACGATTGAATAAGCGGTATAGATAACATACCAAGTTGCCGTGAACATGTCGTAGAACTTGTCGAATGCCTTATCGAAACAGTAGTGGCAAATCAAAAGATCCCTAATGTCAGTCACCTCGCATGTAGACTTGCAGCATTTCACCTATACCGATTAAATGTTTTAGGCATTCATGCCATGAATTCGAAGTGATACAGCATCTAAAGTGCAGAGAATAGAAACACAAATTCTCACCAATCGCTTGAGTTTATGAGAGTAGTACTGTTTATGGGATGGATGGGTACAGATATGTTCATTCAAATGTCCTTCACTGCATTTCAAAATATCCAAGAGGAAATATCATAAACTTCCCTTTTTCGTTTTACAATACATCTCGAAGACAAACATGTAGTAATTGAATGTGAAAATGGCATGATAGAGGTTATACAGCTTACTTGTCACAAACAACAGTGCTGCAATGAAGGCATGTTGCTAGTCCAATCGAGCTACGACATGCATTACAGCTTGCAAGAGATAAGTTTTCACCTATCCGATGGCATCTGCAGATAGGGAGAAAGGCAAAGAGGAGAATCTAGCTCCCTAAGAATTGAAAGTAATTGCGACTTCAAACACAAGAAAGGTCATTCCCTTTTTTGACATTAACATAAAGCAAGAAATAAATCACATCTAATCGAACAGACTAAGACATGGGACATGGCGCAAATCTAGCTCGTTTAGCCAAATAAAAATTTTGAAACTCAAGAACCCAGATTAACATAAAAGTTTATGTCTATGAGCTATTTTTACGAACAAAACAAAGGATGAGCATGAACCCTACCCTAAAAAGCTAAACAAATAAATAAGAAAACAAAATGAAGCAATCACATGCTCGATAATTTTTAACGTTTGAAGTCTCTTCTTTTTAAAAAATACTTAATTTAGTATAAATACATGAAATAGATTTGTATAAACCTTCTGTACAGTTCAAGAAGATCTCTGGATAGAGAAGTGGGCTTGCTCCGCTTCGTCGCAGCCTAAAATAGAGAAAACAAATGAAAAACATGTTTTCACAGTTCATAATTGTAAAGGACCAAAGTACTTCCTCTAGCAGAAAATAAGTAATAGTAAACCTGCTCCGATGTGGTGACCAAGCAATCTTCAGCAAGGTGTCCCGGCCTCTCGCATTTCCAACTAAAATCAGAATCATTCATATAAGACTCAGTAGTAATCACTACTAAATAGTGGAACTTATTTTCAAACAACACAGAACCTATGGAGCTATGCTATCTCATGCTTGAATAAAATCTATTTATAAATGTTATTTCGAAATACAATAACTTAAACAAATTTGTACCATTTGTAGCTACAAAGATTAGACCCCCTTTGGAACCAGCGATGGTTACTGTAATCCCAAGCGTCTTCCTCAAGTTCAGGAGTACGATAGATGGATGTAAGTTCAGATGATGAAAGAGACGGATTTTGACTGCTCATGGTCACGGATTTCTGGAAACACAACACATAATACAGGCTTAATGTAGTGAATACAATATGAAAAGAGACATTCTTTTGTTACCGTGAAAAAAGTCGAGAGAGTGGGAACCTCAGTTATTTGAAGGCTACGCAAAAGAGCAGATTTGCACTCCATGCTGCAAATGTCGTCATCAGTCTACACAGAAACATCACATCCAAAGTTAGAGAGAGTCACAGAAGCAACTAAGAGAATGATGTAGCGAATTTTGAACAACAAGTCTCATATCATTTATCTCACCTTGTCACATATATATTCTCCATATCTGCCACAAATTACACAAACAGGTTCGCCTGGAAGAGGAAACCGTTGCTCACTTCTGCTCTTAATTCGATCTGCTTCATTCAAATCACCTACAATAAAATACAGTCAAAAACAGTGAAGGCCACATATGCAACAAATATATTTTACAGCTTCATCGATCATAAGCTATCAATAAGCAGAGAAAAAATGGGTGGTCTTTGAAATATTATAAGCAAAATAGTTATCGTAATTGAAGGAGACTCTAAAAGCCTAAAACAAACCAGAATCTGGAGGATCCTGAGTTTCTTTATCATCGGAAGAAGTACTTCCATCGCCTGAAATTTGAGGAACGCTGTATTCAGTAATTGCATACACATTCAATGGTAATTACAGAGTTGCAAGTCATCAAAGTTTCTAGTTGAATTTGATTATTAACCGAACCAACAATAAGTTCAAAATTTATGTACTGGATTCTGTTATCAAAAGTAGGATGAATGAAACTTACTTCCATAGTCTACCAAAGCTACACTCGAATTCGATGCTTGCTGCAACAAACAGAAGAAGAATAAGAATAACCAAAAGGGATAATCGAAATTCATTCAAAAATAAAACTAAAGCAATCAATTAATTACCAACATATCAGTACTCAGTTGGTCATAACCCTGAGATGAACTAACCTCTCTCCTGCTCAATCAAAAACCAGAAATCAAACAAAAATTGCAAAGCAAATTGACAATAAATGAAAAAAAAATTACACTTCAAAATGTGAAAATTACATTTAAAAAAGAAGAGAGAAATCTCGCCTTCTTTTAAGGATGTAATCGTGATGAGACATAGGTCCATCCTTGTCTTCAATTTCACGGCTACGGTGAGTCCGCGACAATGGCTGACGCTCCCTCGTGCGTTTCCTACACGCGCCTTTGTTTTCGACCTGAGATTGTTCTCCGATCGGCGGAGGAGCATTTCCGGTGGCGATATTATAGGCTGTGAATTGAAGTGAAAGTCTTGAAACTTGTTTGATAAAGAAGATTTCTATAAAAAAAACTCACCTTTTAGGTTTTGAAGAGCAGAGGAGAGATTTAAATCTTTCTTGTAAGAGAGGGAAGGGTTTTTGTAGAAATTCGATCTCGTCCCCATTTCCCCCACTCTTGCCAATGATTTGATTAAGAGAGGCAGAGAGAGAGCTTAATGAACGGCCATGGCGGCAGCCCAGTACCGAGATACCAAACGATGTCGTTCGAAAGGTGGTGTTATCACTGATACGGTTGAATTCAACGAAGGAAGGCCCAAACTTTTTTTAAAAACATATGTAATTAATTTTAGGGTAAAGTATACAAATGGTCCCTCAACTATAGAACATTTCTTTGTTGAATCTCTTGCCTATTAAAGTTATAAAATGATCTATTAACTATTAAAAGTTATAAAATGGTCCCCGAATATAGGGTATTATTATTTTTAGTCTCACGACTATCAAAAGTTACAAAATGGTCACTATTATATGTTTCAAACTCATCCTTTTTCTTTAAAAAAATTAGTGATTGTCTGAGTTGTACAATAACATGTTGACTGATATATGATAAAATTTGATCCCATAACTTTTTGAGCTGTATTTGTGGATCAATTCTTCATTTATATTATGTTATCGAGCTAGTGCTTGAAACATTAAATCATCGAGCCAGTTCTTGAAAACAATGATAGTATCAGTAGACATCATTAAAATATGATTTTATCATATCTCAATCAACATGTTAATGTCTAGTTCAAACGATCGTCGATATTTTAAAGAAAAAGAAGGAGTTTGAAACATATAATAGCTGAGTGATTGTTTTATAACTTCTCATAATCAGAAAGCTCAACAAAATAACATCATATTGCCGAATGATCATTTGTGTACTTTGCCCTTAATTTTACCTTTTATTCTCTTTTAGTCAAGAATACAAAAAAATGGTAAAATACACTAGTGGTCCTTTTGTTTTTGGTCTATCTTATTTTGGTTACTTATTTTGAAAACATTATATTTTGGTCACTTTTATTTAACTCCCATTAGTTTATTAACGTGACACTTTAGTGAAAATGATAAATTTTAGGGTAAACTTCACAAATAGTCATTAATGTTTGAGTAAATTTTTGTTTTCCGCTGAAGTTTTAAAAGCTACAAATTGATCGTTAACGTTATTGATTTATAACAAATCGGTCACTCAACTTTAACCACTGTTAATGTAGGTGACATAAAGCTTACTTTGTCCATTAAACAAGTAATTTGTTTATTTTTTTTTATCATTAACAAGCTTTTACAAATCAAATATAAATTGTTGTAAGTTAAAACCATTAGGGAGCTTTGGCCCAATGGTTTGGGTGCCTGGTCACTCTCCCCCAAAGACTTCGATTCTCTCTAAGTGCATCTTTGTTCTTCTATTTTCCATTTCAATTGGGTGGTGACACGTGTCACCACCTAATTGGTTAAAAATTATTTAATTAAATAATTTAAAATTCATAAATAAAACATTATAATCATGTATTGACACATGTCATGTTCTAATTGGATAGTTATATTTATTTAATTGAATTAAAACAATGACTAAATTGATAGAAATGTAAATATTAAGGACCAAATATATAATTATGACAATTTTATTAACGGACATGTCACCAACTCTGTTAAAAATTAACGGCCGGTGGCTTGATTGAATCAATTAAATAGTTTGATGGTCTGATTAAGACAAAAAATAGTTTGATGGTCACATTGACTTTTGACCATAATTTGGTGGTCTCCCGTATAGTTTACCCTAAATATTATCGTATTGATATGGCATACATTTGAATTAAACGTGATATCAATTCAAAACCGTTTATAATTGAATATTTTAATTAAAAAATTTATTAAAAATAATAATTTGACTTTTACTTAAAAGATTGAGAATTAAATTTTGTTTAAAACAAGAATTAATTTGACAAAAATTATTAAATAAAAACAAAATACACCATTTTATATATAAAAAATTAAACAACTGATTTCTATGGTAATTAAAATTTTATAATCTGAAAGCTTATTTCATCCATTAATCGAAGAACCAAATCGCGAACCTTGTAATTCACGAACTATCACCACCCAATGGGTATTTGCCGCGTACCCTCAAACCAAGAAAAAAAACATCCCAATGTTCAATCTTTGCTCAAGTGTCGTGTTAAAGATGGCCATTTAACCATAATTGGACGACCCGATAGGCTTGTATATTTAAAAAAAAAAATCAGGTTCGGGTCAAGTCAGGTCCGATTATTTAAGAGATATAATTGGGTCGAGTTGTATTCGGGTGAAGCGTAAAAAAAGTCTGACTCGACCTGACCTAAGGATAATAATATAGTTTCTTTAAATTTGTTTATTTATTTTTTAATTAAGTATTTATTTTATATTAGGTCGGATTGGATCAGATTTATATTATAAAAATTCGGTATGGTCAAAGTCGGGTGGATGATATATATTTTTTGAGTCGGATCAGATTAGATGAAGAATATAAAATTTTTAAGTCGAATTAAATTTAGGTAGAGGATATATATTTTCGGGTTGGTTGAATTAACATAAAAAAAACTGACCCTAACCCATTCTCGTTACCATATGCCCCAAAAATCCCATCCCTTTATGGTGTTCATTTTTCGGTTTTAACCAAATTAACCGAACGGAATTAGTTCGGTCAGGGAACGGTTAATAATTTTTTTAGAATTCGATTAACGGTTAATTCAGTTTGAAATCGATTAATTATCCGAACCGAAATTAAATTTTAAATTTTAAATATATTATATATAACATATGGGATTAGCCCAAACTATTTAAAATCCAATTAATAATTTAATATCCAATAAATTTTAAACATAAATCAATATTAATTAATTAAAAAAATCTATATAAAATTTTTATTTTATAATTATATATTATTTAAATTAATTATAAATTGAAAGAAAAATATTCAATTTTTATATAAATTAAAATTTTTTAAATGTTTTTATTAATTTAAAAATTAATCGAATTAATCAAAATTTATTTGGTTAGATTAATATTTTTTAAAAAAATTCAATTCAATTATCAATTAAAGAAATTTTTTATTAATTCGATTAATAATAATTCGGTTCCACATTAACACCCTACATCCCTTTCCCTTTGGATTGGATTTTGCAGAAAACAACAACAATGGTAGATAAATCAGATCATTGCATCTTACTATATATACTTCGTAGCCAAAAAAAATTAAGATTTTTCATTGTAGTTCCCTCAGATTTGGCAAAATTTTTGAGATAATGTTCTCACCCTATTTGAGCAATTAATCTGAGGAGTGCATTATCTCGTGAATTAATTTATTCGAGAACGTTATCTCGAGAGTTTAGCCCTCAGATGGCAAAATTTTTGAGATAATGTTCTCGAATTTTTTATTTAACGATATAACGTACTCCCAAGATTAATTACTCAAATAGGGTGAATTGCACAGTGTTGGCCGTAGGTCGCCATGCCTTCCGGGCGACCTACGGCGTGGCAGCTTCCCAGCATAGGTCGCCATGCACTCCGGGCGACCTTGTAGGTCGGCGACCTTGTAGGTCGGCGACCTTGTAGGTCGCCATGCACTCCTGGCGACCTTGTAGGTCGCCATGCACTCCTCCTGCTCCTCGCGTAATTCCTCTTGCCCTCGGATGCCCTCGCATAGCTCGCTCGAATGGTCTCGGTCGGATGCCTTCGGATGCCCAACGTGTTGAAACGTGCATGACACATGCAATCTCTCTCATAGCTCGCCGGGAAGACATGGCGACCTAGTAGGTCGTCCGGATGGCATGGCGACTTACGACCAACACTGTAGATTTCACCATATTTAAACAATTAATCTGATGAATGCATTATCTCGTGAATTAATTTATTCAAGAACGTTATCTCGAGAGTTTAGCCCTCAGATTTTGGTTGGCAAAATCGCCCAACTTTTTTTTTTGTACTTTTCTTTCCGTCTTCGTCCCCTCCAAAGATTTTGCATAAACTCATTGATTCTCTCTCTGTCTTCCATTTTCTGTTCTTTCGTTTCACATTCTAAAGATTCTAACTTGCCTTTTTTGGGCAAAATAAAGTTTCGAAATTTATATGGCCAATGCATCTGGGTTTTTCACGCCTTCGGTGCCGAAGCTGAGGACGAAGGTTCAGCCTTCAATCGGCATTTCTGGATCTGGGTTTGGCTTCTCTAGGAGAGTAGTGTGCTCAAGTGCCATTGAAGGTGCAGAGAAGCATGTTTCCCCTTTAGAATCTCGAGTCCCCAAGTAAATGTTTCTGCTTCTTTTTATGTAATTTCTTGCTTGATCTCGAATCTAGTTTATCAGATGAATATATTTGTGAAAAATGGTGTTGAATGAGCTTCCTTTATTGATGATAATTGTGTTGTGATTTTACTAGGGATTTCATAGTTTGCTTGTTGTAAGGTTGTAGGCTGAAGTGGTTCTTGCACTAGCTAGATGAAAGGGGTTCATTGCTTCATGCATTTGCATTTTCAGCTTTTTTTTATAGGGCAATTAACTTAAATTTTAAAGGTTGAAAGATTAGGATCTCATTTGATTGTAGTGCTCCCTTAGCTGTGTTTCTTGCTCTTGGATTACCGCTCTAGAACGGTTAATCGATTCGCCTAGTTTATCCGATGGTAGCTTTGCAGAAGTCTCTTGGACTTGGTATGAGCAATGTTTGGCTTAATGAACCTTGGTCTGGAGATATCTAGAATAACTTATTGTACCAAGCTTGATACCTGATAGGTATTGGTTATTATCTATTCATGGTTATGTTCGAGATTAATTCGGTCATACTTCAGATACTTTATGTTGGATAGTTGCTAGATACAATGATAAATCCTTTTTTTGGTTCATTTTGTCTCTAGGAGACCATCTTAGTGATTGATAATTCGACTTTAGTTTGGGAGACGCTTAACGATAGTCTGGCCTTTGGAGTTGAGATGCAGCCTCGTTTTTATTCGTATGTTTATACCTTTATTCTGTTTATACTTTGGAAAAACACAGGCTTGTGAGTAAGGGCTGCAAGTTAGTTGGCTGTGGGTCAGCAGTGCTATCTCTTTCGGTTTCCAACGATGATCTTTCGAAAATAGTTGATACTAATGATGAATGGATCTCTGTCCGCACTGGAATACGAAATCGACGGGTAATTTCAGGTCAGTCTTGTTTCATCCAGTGTGGACTGGTTATTACTCCATCAGGTAAACGATTTATGATTAGCATCAGCAACTGTTGTAGTCGTCTTGTTCCGGTTAACGCAGTCGATAATTCACACAACATCTTGTAGGCAAACCAAAGGATCATCGATGCAGTCGCGGCACGGTTAGAGTTCCCGCAGGAAAAAGTGATATCGAACCTGGCAAACTACGGTAACACGAGCGCCGCGTCGATTCCTTTGGCGTTGGACGAAGCCGTCCGGAGCGGAAATGTGAAGTCGGGGCATACGATCGCAACCGCGGGCTTCGCCCCAGGTCTAACTTGGGGTTCGGCAGTTATTAGGTGGGGATGAAAGAGGACCCTGCAGCCAAATTAACCATGTCTGAAAAGAACAGAAGCATTCTCATGAAGAAGAGCTCTGTCCAGTCCCGACATTCTGATCCAAAAATACACAGAAAACTGGAGTTTCGAATCACAAAAATCTCCATTATTGTTTGTTTTTATTTTATTTTATTTTTTATTAAGTTAAGATGATTATATATAGTTATATTTGTTCTAAATGTTTTCAATTATTTGACAGTAAACATTCAATCATCTTGTTATTGTCGTTGATGCTCGAACTCGTGACTTTTAGAAACAATTATGATTTCTTTAACCACTAAAATAAGTAGATTCGTGTTAATTTAAAAATCTTGATTTCATTTCAATGCATTATTTTAATACCAAATAAATAACTGAAGTTTTGAAAAATGGTGATAATCCAGACGGGGAAGAACCCATCGGCTTACAAATATCTAGAGGGTAAATTACAGATTTAATCCCTTAGCTTCTTTACTTTCACTCTTGTTTTGATCATTAAAATAAAAAAAAATCAATTGTCACTTGATTTTTGAATTACTTATGTTTTAGTCACATTGTCATTAAATCTTTAAGGGTAAATTACTTGCTTACTCACTAAACTTTACACTCTCTCCTATTTCACTCATTATACTTTTAATGTTTTCAATTTGCTCACTAAACTTTAAACATTAAACTTTTTTGGTCACTAGACCGTTAAATTTCTAACTGTGTTAAATTAAAATTGGAAACCTTAAAAGTACAGTGAGTGAAATAGGAGAGAGGGTAAAGTTCAATGAATAAACGCGTGGCGTGTTTTGTTATTATTAAGCACCTAGTTACTGAGTAAGCTATCGAGCGACCAAAGAATTCAATGTCTAAAGTTCAGTGAACAAATTAAAAAAATTAAAAATAAGGTGAGTGAAATAAGAGAGAGTAAAATTCAGTAAGTAATCGTATTATTTTCCCAATCTTTAATGATATTTTGACATGACAAACGATATTAAAAATGAAATCGGTTTGAAAAAGTTAAATATGTATCAAATTGATGTCGTTGTGTATCTTAGTAAAATAAACATGACATTAAATTTAAATAATTAAATTTAAAAAATAAATTTTAATGATTAAAATAAAATAATTACTAAAATTGATCGATGAAATTTATGATGATTTATCCAAATATATAATACGTCCATTCCGACAAAACTGGCAGCATTATATTAGAAATCCATTAACTATTTTTTTGAACATCAATCCCTTAATAGATTTGTTAGAAAAATAGCCTCAACTACTACGTGACTACTTCGCGTTCTATCATAGCGAGAACATGTATCGCATTTTATAGGATGCGAGATACTGTGCACTTTTTAGATTACTCAATTTAATATGGTTTTTAGTACCTCGAGTTTTTCAGAGCGCGATGTCTTCGAGATATTAAATCGTCCTGATAAATTTATCGCGAGAAGTATTCAACATACCTCGTGTTTTCCAAAAAGTGAGGTATTGATTTTTTCCAACAAACCACAAGTGTTTATAGACATGTTCGAGTATTTAATCTCAAAACTTTTGTAATTTATAAAATACTTCCCGCAGTATTGGAATTTATCTTTCAGTTGAGGTTAATATAAAGACATACAATATATCGCAAGCGGGTTAAAAATCGAGTTGAAAATTGTTCCAAAGCTTGTTTTGTGCATGAAGGAAATGCTAAAATGGTTTGGTAGACATATTTGAGGGTTTTTTCTGGTAGTGAATCTGACTAATTGCATAATTTATAAGAGTACATGTGCAGTAATGTAACTTATTTTTTGATTGAGAGTAATATCGGCACATACGAGTCATTTTAAGCGGCGTAATAATCGTGTTGAAAGTTCTTCGAAACAAAAGTAGTGCAATGAAAAAACACAATAAGGTTGAGGGAACGAGCGGAGGTGTGCCATCTTTGGGTTTGATGTCTCAAGTAGAGGATGCTACCGGAAGAGGATGCCTTCTGAGAAACATTGTGGGCTTGATGGAGAGTGGATTGGGTCGAGCACAAAAATGGAATTCGAAAGTCACACCCACCACTGTCAGATCCACGTCACGAGTGATAAGTCGATGGAGCAACCTAAAGATAATGCTTTTTTAAAAACGATTAGTTTCCCGAGCGATAAGACTAGTGAAGGTGTGCCATTTGTCATATTAGTGTCTCGAGCGAGAAAAGTCGTAAAGGATACTACTAGAAGAGGATGCCTTCGTAGAGTTTCCCAAAAAGGTCGGGTTACTCATGTTTAATCAACTTTACAAATATATTGTATAAAAGACAAGTTGTTGAGGAAGCTACCCGAAGAGAATATCTTTCATAAACATTGTTGTTTTGATGAAGAATATGAAATTTATGAAACAAACATTTTGTCGAGAAGGCCATATTTTTTTTATAAAAGGCATTCTCTTTGGGTAGCATAACTTATAGCACCAATATTGACATAAGTTTAGTGTCAAGTTGTGCTGCCAGATGAAAAGCCTCTTATAAGCATAGATCGTGTTAAAATTTACAATATAAGTACAAGGGGATATTTATTTATAGCAGGGTAATCTCGCATTGTGTAAAACACGAGTTTTGTAGAGATTCCTGAAGTGGCAGGAAACTCGCTCTCTGCAAAATGCGAGTTATTGAGGGATTTCTGACATGGCAGAGATTCCTGATGTGGAAGCAATATTTGTTTTGGCATGACAAATCTCACATTAAAAGGAGCGAGATAATATGTCTATAAAAACAAAATTGGTGTCCATTTTGCATGAAATATCTTCGTAAAACAAATATTAATGGCGATATTTTCTGCAACTATGTTTCATTCCGGAACTTATTTCTACACTTCCTTCAATGTCAAGATTAAGAAAGATGAGTTGTACGATTTGATTTCAATGGAGCTTAAAAAATCTACAACACGACAGATGTGTTCGTTGCAAACTAAAGTTCCCGTGGGAAATACCAGTACTGAAACACATTACATGTTGACCTTATCGAATACGAGCGACTTTCAGAAGATGTTTAAGGCTAACACACGCGTTGGTGGTAGGAACATCGAGTTAACTATAACGTTTGAGGAAGAACCATATTCAACAATCAATGAAGGAGTAACTCAGTTATCATAAACCCATGAGGACGAAGAGCCAGTTTTGCTATGTATTGCCCATGAACGTAGGAAGAGAGAGCTTTAAACAACTCATGTAGTTTGTTTTTTTATTATGTTTTTAAATTAGTATTAAAATAAATTTTGTGTGAGTATGATGATTCACAAGTTGTTTATGCATCAAACCAAACAACTAATTACCATATTATTAAAGGATAACTTAAACAAATTAATAATTCAAAGTTGTGAGTGTTTTCATCTACTCCAACTTGCTCCACGTTTGTCATGGGACGTTGCATAGGCGGGTGGTTTAGGGGAGGCCTATAAATTTCTCGTGCTCGCTCCTCCTCGATCAGTATATGTGATATCCCATTTTGCTCGTATCACAATATGTAATCATCTGAAACACCGTAAGCCAAGATGGGTTCAGAAACGACCTATCTAACGAGCCTCGCTATCCACTGCATCACCCAATCCACATGATACACTTCTCAATTAACATCATTCTTCCCCTGTCGTGTTAGGCGATGTAAAACATTGCCCAAGGTTGTTGGTGGTGGCAGAATTGTTTGGACACGACCAAATTGCCGCAACACGCGATCAACAGGATGCCACTCGACGATCTCATAGACTATCAACGGGACCACCGACATCCAAAGGTGCGAACTGTGACGTATCTCATCTAGAGTACAAATGTAATAGCACCGTCATTGTATGTCGTCCACACGAACTACACAAATATTTTTTAAACTATGTTAATAAAAAATTGGTATTTAATTTACAAATTAAAATTATAAAATCAATTACTTCATTTGTCATCTTATTGATCGACAGTCTAAAATCACGAAGACTTTTTGGTAGCTGGTAGTGACTAAGTGCGACGGTCCGCCTATCATTCATATAATAAAATATAATTATTTGTAAAACTAAAAAAAACATGTAGTAATAACTATATATAAACATAGGTTATTTTTTACCTTAGAAGTAGTGAAAATTCTAATGGTGTCTATTGTGTATAAATGACGCTAAAAAGTGCATTCGAAACCAAGCTAACGATTGTAACAACATCAAATAGCCTTCGAGTGTTTGTTTGTTTGAATTAACACCTTTACATAGCTCCCGGAACAAAAAGGCCAACATTGTCGATCCCTAACTCTTATTTTTAGAGGCCCGCATGTCATGTAGATGATACAACCACGTCAGATGTACTTTGTTTCGAGATTTATCAGGCATCAAGACCCCTAATAACTTGTAAAATATCAACACGAGCAAATTGTTGTAAAATAAAAATGGTGCGAATACATTAAAAATTTCTGGAGCAGTATAGATTACAATAACATAAACTAAAAACAAATTAAATATTATAAATAAATAAATTACAATAAATAGACATAGATTTAAATGTAGATATTCCCTCCATCTAAATTGTCCTCTATCGGAGTAACTTCGAGCAGTTCCTCACACAAGGTTCCCCAGTTCCTATGAGCCATACCAGTAATAAAATTTCCATCAATAGGCAGCCCAAGATGGTATGCGACATCTTCAAGGATAATAGTCGCCTCCCACAAGAAAAATGATATGTGTGCGTCTTCGGTCTCCACCTTTCAATCAATGTGTTTATCAATGGAGGGTGCAACTTCGTACCACCAGTTACGGTGCCAATGTAACCAAAACCGAATTCGTGCAAGTATGGAATAATATCGTCATTAGGGGACGAGAAACGGTTGATAAACTCGATAACGAACGTTCATATCCCTTCAAATTAATAAATAATTTCAAAATAAAAAAATAAATTTGAAATAACTAAATAAATAAATAATTCAAAATAAATAAATAAATAAATTTGAGTTGAATAAATAAATAAACCCAAAATAAATAAATTAAAAATAAATGAATACATAAATTCGAAATGAATAAATAAATAAACAAACAAATAAATAAACAAACAAATAAATCTAAAATAAATAAACAAATAAATCAATAAAAAAATTTAAAATAAAAAAATTGATGTTGTATTTTTCCGTTAGTAGGTGCATACATGTAGAAGATCAGTCCTCAATATTCCCGTTATAATAATATGAGAGAGAAAATATATAAGAGAGTTTTTTTGAATGAAAGTGTAAGGAATTTGTAAGGAATTCGGGTGGATGGGGGCCTATTTATAGTGCTCCATGCACCCCCGAAACGAGGGAAAAAATGTACCTCGCATTATATAAAGTCCGTGGTTTGAGGATTTTAAATCTCAAAACTTTTGCGAATGATAATTTCCTAATATTTTAGAGGTATCGTGTTCTAGAAAACTCGAGGTACTAAAAAGTCCTATTAAATTGTGTAATTTGAAAAGTGTACAATATCTCGCATCCTATAAAATGTGAGACGTTCTCACGTGGAATAGGATGCGAAGTAATCGTATTTATATAATTTAGGGTATTTTTTTAACCTATCTACTAAAAAATTAGTGTTAAAAAAAATATTTAAGGGTAAACTACTGTTTGGGTAAGTTTTCGTTTTCACCAGTGATGTTTCAAAAGTTACAAATCGGTCACTACCGTTATCGTTTGTTACAAATTGGTCACTCACCGTTAATATGTGTCCGCTATTTGTGAGTACTATAAATGGTACGGATATGTGTGCAAGTATACACAATCGAACAAGTAATAAAGTGATGATTGAGTATCGTTTTCCACAAGGATTGGGGGAAATCAAATAAGTTTGTCACGTCACTTTACTCTGTCACCTAAGTAAAGTTAGAGATGGTATATATACAAATAATAATGCTGTGGCAAAATGAATGGATGGTATGGAAATGGAACGATGACAATGTGGTAGCAAATGGATATGTTGTGGCAAAAGAATTGTGTGTACTGCAATCAAATAAAAATGTAAAGGCAAAATAAACTGCAAATACTGCATTTGATTATAAGGACTTTAGACTCCTCACACGACAAGCTATTATGGGAATGAGTGATAGGAGTTACTTAGGAAATTTAAGTCTACTTCTTAGAATGATCTTACTTCTATGTCTTCTCTGCCCGACAAAGTTTACTAAGGGTGCCCTATGCTATCTCTAGTAAGGGACTCGACAGATTGAAGATGCCTTGGAAAAACCGATTGGCGTTAGCTACTGCAGGGATCCTATTGGTCCAGATAACAGGATATGTCTCGGCAATACCTTTTTGCGGCAGCATTAACATCTAACCTATCGCTCATACACAACTCCTTTTAGTCGAATGAAATCCTAGCCTTATCTCTAAGGTGGATTAGGCCTAGTTACTATCTAGAACCCCTTGCTTATGTGGTTCCTCCCTAGTTTCTCTCGAACACTAAAGACGTGCTACTTAGACATTCTCTCGAATAGTAAGTAATCTCCTAAGGAACGACTACTCTCGTAGCTCCTACAACCTTAAGGCGCTAAGCTTCATAAACAAAACAGAATATAGAAAAATAACCATTCATTAAAGCAAAACTTAAATATCCAAAATAAACTCCCACAAAATAGGATTAGTTCATGGTGGGGTTCGAAATAAGCAAGCACAAAGCAAGTTAATTCGTTCCTTACAACCCAAAAGATAAATATGAAAGCAAAGAGCAAAGGGAAGGAGGAAAAGCCTTCGACGTGAACTGTCGGAGCTTCCCTCGGCCACCACGAACTGTCCCAACGATCTAGCTCCTCTCAGACGCCTAGTTCGCCACTCCCTCTAGCTTGTCAACGGAGGAATGCCACGGCAAAAACAATTGACGGAAAAAAAAAAAGAAAACTTTTTCTCTGAATTTTTAGGCTCTTGGAGGCTGTCTAAAAATCTCCAAGTCTCCTAAAAAAGTCAGGCTTCATCTTCTATTTATAGGGGAGAATGAACCTAGGGTTTTGTGTTAAAATTACACTAGCACCCTAAAGTTCATTCCTTTTATGTGAGAGTCGGTGCAAAGATGGTAACTGACCCCTCCATTATGGTTGATTGCAGAAAGCACTTTTTATGCCATGACAGCTGACTCTTACTAAAAATATTCTTCTTTCGTTTTGATCGCTCTCGAAAAGCCAACTGGTTCGGCATTTGCATTCTGCTCAATAGTCTCCTTATGTCATGACATTTCCCTTTTGCTTTTCCTTGCTCCCAAATCCTGCACATCACCAAACAAAACATTCCCCATAAAGCAGCACTGATTACAAAATAAAATGTCGCGGCAAACAGAATTTCACCACATGCAACTATATGCTCCTAAATGCATCTATATGATCCTATATGAGCTCTAAGAGAGTCAATAACTTAAGTGAAAAGGTCCCAAATATGACCTTTTTACGGAGTTATCAACATGCGTGACGGAAAACACACGTGGCCTATTAACAACAGTTAACATGCTTACATAGATGGTATAATTACACAAATAGTCCATGTTATTTATATATTCTTTCAATTTGATCATAGTTTTAATAAATTAAAACATATTTATTTTTAATTCTTATAAATAATGATATATTTTTATACAAAATAATTAAATGTTTTTTTAGTTATAAAAACAAAAAAAAATTAACGTGATGAAATTATTATTATTAAATGTTTTTTTAAGAAAATGAATAGTTAAATTTTCATCATATCAATAATAATATCATCACAATTCATTTTTCCAAGAATTTAGGTTTGAAACCGGGTAAACATTTGCATGGCAACCAGCTTTTGACATTGCAGGTGCCAAAGTTGCCACAAAAATTGAACATACTACAGTTGTTGTTTGGCTCCCACCATATCAAGTTCCAACTTTTCATGTCTGTATCCAACTCCCAATACTGTAAATGTCCAGTAGAACTCAACACTGTTCTTTTATCTTGGTAAACTTGTGTTTTACTCATGCTGAAATTCCAGAAGTTGACTAATGTAGAAGGCAGTTCATCTGCTCTACTTGATCTCCAGTAAATGGTGCTCTTTTCCATGACAACAGGCCGCGATTGAGAATCTAGTCCCCGGTGATGGATCATCTTCACTGCGCCATGAAGTTACTAAGACATCGGCATTCATCTTCATACCATAAAGAAATGTATCCGTCGGATGCTCAAAGCTTTGCCAAAGATATAGTTTCGACCGATCGAGTAGAATCAAGTTACCGTTATCGCTAAGCTTCACCATCGGAGTTGAACGCTTAACCCCAGTCTGTGCAGACCAGTAAAGGTTCCCTTTGTCATCGGATAACTTCAGTGTGCCATCTGCAACAGATAGAACCCCAGTCCTATCTGGAACTGGATTTTTTCCATTGGCAACCCAAACAAGTATCTTTGGATTAGAGATATACCATATCCCCACATATCTCTTCACGTTGGAGATGCTTGATGGGATAAAGAACCCCAGTTCAAATCTATTTCCAGCTGAAACTAGAGTTTCCCCATCTGCGAGTCTACTTTTTACTGTTATGTTATCTCTAGCGAAACAGAACTGAGGGGAAGAAAACAGAATCAAAATTGTGTTGATAGATAAGAGGGAAGAAACGATGTTAGGTACTGACCAACTTGAAGCTGCTTTCATCTTCTGTGGAACATAGTTTTTCTTCAAAAATCGATGACTTTCTTCTTCAGGGATGATTAATTATGCGTGGACTAACACGAGTCGGTAGCTAAAATTGCTTTAAAATTGCTTTCATATATAGAGCATGATTCAGTATTAATTTTTCATCGTATCAATAATAATAATATCATCACGTTAATTTTTTATTTTTATAACTAAAAAAACATTTAATTATTTTGTGCAAAAAATATATCATTATTTATAAGAATTAAAAATAAATATATTTTAATTTATTAAAACTACGATCAAATTGAAAGAATATATAAATAATATAAACTATTTGTGTAATTATACCATCCAGGTAAGCATGTTAACTTCTGTTCACAGGCCACGTGTGTTTTCCGTCACGCCTGTTAACGGCGAGTGACCAATTTGTAACAAACGATAACGGTAGTGACCGATTTATAACTTTCAAAACATAAGTGATGAAAAAGAAAACTTACTAAAAAATTAGTGACCACCGGAGTAGTTTACGCAATATTTAATGAGAGTTTTTAATATAATATTATTGGCAAAACTCTTACCATCACGCGAAAAGTAATTTTAAACAAAAAAAATGTCACTCTCCTTGCAATCTCCGCCATCACCATTTCTCTCTTCTTCTTCTTCTACTTTGCAAAAATCAAGACTGAGATTTGCAAATGGGTGTTGTTCTTCGAATCTACTCTTCAGATTCAACTCATCTTTCCCAGCTACCCGAGCTTCCTCCTCGGGCTTCTCTCCTCTCGACACTGGTTATCTTCCTCCCTTTCATATTTTTTTATTGAATCTGTAACCATTTTAGTTATTTCTTTGGATTTTAATTCATGGGTTTTTTTTAAAATTTGTTTTTTTCTGCTTTGGGAAAATCCAGGGTTGTCTACTGAATTGGATGCTGTGTCTACTTTCAGTGAGATTGTTCCAGACACTGTCATCTTTGATGATTTTGAGAAGTAAAGATTGTTTTATTTTGGACTTTTGCGTTCTTTTAATGAAAAATTTAGTCTAAAAGGACTTTTATTTATACTAATCAATTGAAATTTATAGGTTTCCACCTACTGCTGCAACTGTTAGCTCTTCACTGCTGTTGGGTATATTGGGCCTTCCGGATACCATTTTTAGAGTAAGCATTGTCATATGAAATTGATATATACAAAGTAGGGGTGCTAACTGAGTTGAGCATTTCGCGAGCGGCTCAAGTTCGACTTGAGTTGATTTGACTCTATATCTTAATAAGTCGATTTCGAAAGAATGATTGTAATATGTTAGTTTAGTGTGTGGATTGTTACTTTGAAGTCTAGACTTTGGAATTGCTTTTTGCACTATTTTGATAATTTTTTTGTTAAATTTATTAATTTATATTAATCTCTATATAGTATTACTAGATTTTTCATATATTTCGAAGAAAAAAAACAAGGCAAAAATTATGACTAGCTTAACGAGCAAGGAGTCGAGTCGAGTCTAACAAGTCATGAGTCGAGCAAAATTTTCTCGAACTTATCGACTATCAAGTAGAGTCAAGCACTGCTCAACGCATGATCGATACGCTCGATAAGCACCCCTAACACAAAGTATATATATATATATATATTAACTAGTTAATTTTCGTTATTGTTTTTGTTTAGAATGCTGTGGATATGGCCTTGGCGGATTCAACATGTTCCAGACTTGACAATCCTGAACTGAGGTTGTCTTGTTTCTTTAATAAGGTTTGTATCTTATGTTCTGTTAAGTAATAATGCATGAATTTGTGGTGTTATGCAATCTAATGTTCATTTTCATTGACAAATAAGGGAAGAAAAACTAGAATTGGATTGTTAATATGCTCGAGTTTTGGTTGTTCAATAAGTGTAGGCTTTAGTAAATGTTGGTGGCGACTTGGCAAAGCTAGTTCCCGGTCGAGTTTCGACTGAAGTGGATGCTCGTCTGGCTTATGACACACATGGTATTATTAGGAGGGTACTGACTTTTCTTATGTCTCCATTATATTGCTCGCAATTTTTCTTTTGAGTTTGTTGTATGATTGCTGTTCGCTATCCAATTTTATTGTTGAAAATCGTTTCGGATATGCTGCCGGATGTTAAAAGCTTATTGGGGGATCTGCAGGTTTATGACTTACTGAAGTTGTATAATGAGATTGATGTTCCTCCTGAGCGTTTATTGTTTAAAATTCCTTCAACTTGGCAAGTGAGTAATCTCAATTAGCTGTGTAAATACTCGCTTGTGAAGGCAGTAAGTCTTGACAGTCGTCGGACATAAAGACTTAAAGGGTTCTTACTATTGCTTGATGGTTATACAGGGAATCGAGGCCTCAAGACTGCTTGAATATGAGGGTATACAAACACATTTGACTTTTGTTTATAGGTACACGATTAAGTTGACAATCGATATTGCCCGTCTTACTTCAGATTTTACCTGATTTTACTTTTCTTTTTTCTTATCGTTGCTTGTTTTGCCTCAGCTTTGCTCAAGCTGCAGCTGCAACCCAAGCTGGTGCTTCTGTTATCCAGATTTTCGTTGGCCGTGTTAGGGTAATCCCCCCCTCTCTGCGCGCGGGCACAAACCTTTGGTGACTTTCGTCTGCAAACCTTGATCATTTATTATCCGTGAAACACATTGTTTTTCTTTCTTCAGGATTGGGCACGCAATCATTCCGGCGACCCTGAGATTGAAGCTGCCATTCAAAGAGGAGAGGATCCTGGGTTGGCTCTGGTTAGTTAAACAACCTTTGATTTTACAGTGTAGCCTTAACTTGTTTTAGTTTATAGGTTTTTGGTCGAGTAATTCGATCTGGACAACTGTTTCTATGAGCAGTCGCATTACGTATTTGTGATTTCTGAAGTGCATTGAAGTCTATCTGTAGTTTTGAAGTTGATTTACTTTTGTTCGTCGTTGCAGGTGACAAAAGCTTATAACTACATTCACAAATACGGACATAAATCAAAGCTGATGGCTGCTGCAGTTCGAAACAAGCAGGATTTATTCAGTCTGCTGGGGTATCATATGACCCGAACAATCAATCGTTATCTGTTTAATCAGAAACCATTACAAATCAAGAATCGAATATTTATCTTCTCTTGTTCTTAAACATCTTTTATGATTTATTTCATTCAGGGTTGACTATATCATAGCACCCTTGAAGATATTGCAGTCACTGAAAGAATCAATTACCTCACCCGATGAGAAGTATACTTATGTGAGGAGGCTTTCGCCACAGTCTGCTGCCAACTATGATTTCACTGCTGAAGAGGTACGCTCTTTTCCCGTATTGTCAATTGCCGGAACTTAAAAGAAAACGGGGAAAAGGAAAGCGAAACTCACTGCTCTTTATAATGAAATAATTGATGTCGATATAGTGATTTCACCGAGAAAGTAAAGGAGTCAAGCCTGAATATTCTGTTCCATGTACTGGTTTGGTTTACTTATAATTCCTTGTTGGAAAATAGAAAACTGAAACAGCTTTTATACGTCCCTTTTACCATTCATCGGTCCATGGTTGCTGCTTGACCAGCTGTTTGCTGCAATTTTTGTTATAATTAGGCCATGTACCTCTGTATTGAACTCATCACCACTTAGTATCGAGTTAAGTTCCCGATCGGGTCCCAAACAGGGAGAAAGCTCTCTGAACGCTTATCTTTTCCGTTCATAAGATTTGAACCCGAGACCATACTTAAAACAACACTTGACTCCTTACTTCTAGGGTGAAGAGGCATTGGTTAAGGTCTTTGAAACTGTGTTGATTGATATTCGTCTCTATGTTCAGCTCACAAAGTGGGGCCAATTAAGCCTTGGAGAAGCTATGGGACCTGCATCTGTGGAGCTTCTGGCTGCCGGACTGGACGGATACGTTAAGCAAACGAAGCGAGTCGAGGAATTACTCAACAAGATTTGGCCACCTCCGAATGTCTAAAATGGCTTCTCCGGTTTGTTCCACATCTCATAGGGCATAATATAAGGTGATTTTTCTTTTCCCTGCAGAGCAGCATAGCTGATCTTATCCTCTATGTTTTCATGTTATCAATGAACGTAATGCTGATTTATGACTGTTACATTCAAGCACATGGCATGATAATGTTAATGGCACAATTGAAAAATAAGTAAATGTTGGGAGTTTTCTTTTATTATTTTGTATTTTTTTACCCTTCATTTTATAATTTTATTTTAAATATGCGAGATCATTTTATTGCATCATTTGTTTATAAGGTAAAGGACACATATGGTTTCTCGAATATAGGGTGATGTTTTGTTAAATTTTCAGCTATTAGAATTTACAAAATGGTCCCTTGACTATAGGATGGTGCTTTGTTGAGTCCATCGAGTATTAAAGTTAACCTGACTATTTGTATGTTTCAAACTCATTCTTGTTTTGTTAAAAATTTGACGATCGTTTAAGTCGGACGTTAATATGTTCATTGAGATATGATAGATTTTTTGAGATACTGATATCATATCTTATTCAACGTGTAACATTCAACTTAGGATGTAGTCAATTTTGTAATGGAAAATGACTAGTTTGGAATAAATGAATAGTCAAATGACTATTTTGTTACTTTTAATGGTCATAGGATTCAACAAAACAATATCATATAGTCAAAGATGTTTTATAACTTTTAATAGTCGCAATACTCAATAAAATATCGCTCTATAATCAGAGGATTATTTGTGTACCTTACCCTCGTTTATATTAAGCAATATTATTTGAATGGTTATAAAATATGAAAAATATAAATTAAAATGAATGAAGTACGAGATTATAAGCAAATATATATATAATTTATAAGTGATTAGCGTACCACATTTTACAGAATTTTAAAATTAAATGTGAGTGAAAAAATATTGTATATAAAATTATATGGGTAAATTATTAATATGCTACTCAACATTGCTATTTTTTCTTATTTTATTTATTATACTTTCAATTTTTTTAATTTACTCACTTAACTTTAACATTGTTCGTTCCTATTTTGGTCACTTCACTGTTA